TAGGTTGTATATTTTTCTAACAAATAAAAACAACTAATGATTAGTATGTTTGTTAACCAACAAACTTGTTAACGTACTGAATCCTCATCTAAATTCTCGCTGCTTGAAGACATCATGCATACACTAGTTTTTACTTTACGATATCGCTCTCGATATTTATGAATATACGTAAATATTGCGTCACACACAATATCAGCTATAACCATATAACCAATACCAGAGCCTTTAAAAATGACAAAAGACGATATTTGTATTTAAATAAATAAATTCATTCAATATACCGATAGCAACAAATAAATCAAGTATATCGAATTGTCCACCTTTTCCTGTTATAGCAACGACAAATCGTAATCCATAAATTTTTGATAATGTTCGATAATCTGTATCATTTATGCGATATTTTTGAGCTGATCTATGGAAAATTGAAGAAAAACAAAAAAAAATTGTCTGTTTTAGAATTTTATTTTATTTTCTATTCTTACCGATAATTAATACCAGGAGATTGTTTATCGTCACCACTTTGTAATACATTAAATTTAACTTTTGGAAAACAATGTTCTTTATCAAAATCGAAATTACAGGTCCAATCTTGACGAATTTCAATTAAACCACCCTTTATTATAAAATATGTATTTAGAAGGTTTATTTGAATATACAATTTAGTCAAATAAGATTTACTTCACGTAGAAGAGCTGCTTTATCTGTATTGAGACTATCGAGAATATCACCTATTCGAAAAATAGGGCAACGTGGATCTTTAACTTTATGATATCGACATGTAAAATTCGTATCATGGCGAACATTTCTCCTAGAAAAAGCAGAAATAAGCGACAGAAGTTTTATTATTGCAAAGTATCATCAGAACTAACGAATTGATATTGAATAATGTAAATGTCACCAATGTTTTTAAATACACTGTAAAATTTTCAACAGCATTGCTATCGATTATGAATTCACTTAAATAAATAAAAATAATAAATTTTAAAAAATCTTATTACAAGAGAAACTCTTGTCTTACGTTGACTTTGAAAGTTCTTCAGGGCACCAAGCATTTATTTGACAAACTCCTATAGAAGCATTTTCCACACTTGGTACGCAATTTCCCGTAAAATAACCTGAACATGTATGTCTATTGGTGATATTGTACTAGCAAATAAAATCTACTTACCAAATGTATTTGGTGTTGGTTCACCTGCTGGACATAAATATAATGTTGAGTTAGTACAAAATAATTTGTCGTCTAATGCCTATGTAATGATAAAATACTCGATATCTTCAATAATAAAATTTTTTCTTGTACATACACTGGGACAGTAACCTTCTACTTGACTATAAGTAACTGTTTGTCGTGTAGCAATAAAAAATGCATCACTTTCCTAATATGAAACTAGTATTAAATATGAAAATATAGCTAATTTGATATACCAGTGGAGGCAATTGATATTCAGTTGTATCCCATAAATGTGTTGAAGCTGCTCCTTAATTGTCAAAAAATTGAGTACTTTTTCATATAAAATGTATTCATTCTTTTTTTTAACATACGAACGAATTGTGTTGTATCATTGCCTGTTACTTTAGCAATTCCTTTTACTTTAACAACAGTTGTTCCACGTGGTTCTTGAAATTGTTGATATCCTTTTTTAATCCCAACGATGTAACTGAAAAAATAAAAATTTTCACAATCATTTTCTTTTTCTCTTCCGAAAAAAAGCATTCCTTTTTACATGGCTATATAAGCAATAATACTTAATTGGATTACACGATGAGCAATTGCAATAAATGTGTGTGGTATCTCAATGACTTTGACCGTTGAATAAGTGAAAAATGTCTCGAATAAAAAATCACTACAAAATCTTTTGACTTAAAAAAAATTGAATAAAATTAGTGATCGTATATATCACAAAAGAATCATTCTCACTTGATACAAGCATTGTCTTCCCTCTAATGAAACGAAGCAACAAAAAAAAAGAAACACAACAAAGTCTATGTGTCAGTATGTCAACAGTCTTATCGAAAACATCAGAGAAAAATGAATATGATTTTTATTCATTGTTATCATATGGTAAAGTATAGTAGATTTCATCGTCTTTTTACTCAAGAATAAATATATCTCTTTGTAAAAAAAAAGACAAAGATCGAATATTGCAAAACTCATTGAGTATTTTTATTAGGAGGATGAGGGGGTGGGTGTGGGTGTGTGGAAGGATGTGGATGTGAGTGGATCATCTTGTCACCAGACCCACACATCCACCTCCACTCTCACCCGTCGAACTACTGTCTTTCCTTTATTTCGTGACGAAAGGAAAAAATATTATTGAAACAATGTTCTACAAAGCCGCTGTTATTGTTTCATTTATTATCGATTTTTCAACGGTTAAATATAAATTTTCAGTGCTTCATAAAAGAATTAATAATAAAATCAATTTTAAATCAAACAAAATTTTAAAAAGTTTGATTTATTTCAAATTTCTTTTCTCTATGTTCGCAGGTGAGAGGTAGCCGTCTCAAGTATAGGTTTCTGTCAAAATCTATTGGTGATTTTAATGCAGTAATTACTCTTGTTCTAGTTCTTCAAGTTTCAAATAGCTAAATAAACAATAAAAGTACACGAAATTTATTAAGTTCTAGATTGACCATTTGATTTTTGAAAACCGTTTTTCGGCTCTTTCTTAGGAATTAAATATATGGAAAAATCATGCATCCGTTCCCTTGCAGGATCTGTATCCTCAAATATAAGTCTTTCCCATCTCTATCTTTTTATGATGTCAAACTTTGTATTAAATATATTACTAAGTAGAGATACGATATGAGAGTTTTATTTCATTTTGATGACAGATTACATTAATAAAACTCTCGTGTCGAATCTCTAGTCATCATCAGTAATAAATTTGATACAAAGCATGACAGTATAAAAAGATAACGAAAGAAACAGCTTTAGTCTGAGAGTGTAAAATGATTTGTTTTCTACGTTTTTTATTCTTAAAAATATCCACAGTTGTCCCGTCTTGTAGGTGTCGCTTGATGCATCTAATGTTAGTAGAAGTAACTGATTTATGTATCAAGCGTCAGTAAAGATTGCAATGCATACTATAAACATCAAGAAATCAAGATCCCAAACAGATCTTCAGAAAACATCAAATGCTGGAGTGTGGGTGAACACCTTGTCTCCTCTCGCATCCCACGTTCGGAATTTTTGAATTATACTGGAACTCAATAGAATTCGAACTAATTTCAAGAAAACAATTATGTACTGAACTTGTAATCTTTTTTACAAAAGAGAGATGAACCGAATCGAACTCGAACAAGTAAAACCCGATTCGATTTCATCTTTGCTATCATTACATCCTCTACAATTTGATGTTAGATATTACTCTGAACTCATAATAGATGTAATTAATTGCTGATTATGGTCTGCGTAGGAAGCCTTATATTTCAAACAGGAGTTCTTTTGTACGTGAAGCTTTATTCGAGTTCAAAGGTACATCTACTCCTCGTGAACTAAATATCTAGAGGTGAATAAGATGTTAGAAAGTCGATAAAAATTTCAAGATAATTGTTAAGAATTTCTTGTTATCGATGGAATGACAGTGCCATTTCTGGACACCTCCTAGATACATTACTGCTTTCCTATTTTGTGAGTATTTTTCAGAACAAAACAGGAGCTTATAATCAGCGCACTAAATACTATTGAACCAAAAAAACATGCAATAGAGCAGTAGAAAAT